CTATACATCTACCTGTCTATTTAACTGTCTATCTATCTATCTCCCACCCCATCCAGTCTTTTCACTCTCCCCTCACTTTCTCCCTCTCTCCCCTTCACCTTCATCATCACTCCCGCTCTCCTTCTCCTCCCTCCCTCCCTCCCTCCCCTCCCCTCTCTTTCTTCCTCCTCTCTCCCTCCCCCTCTCCTTCTTCCTCCCTCCCTCCCCCTCTTCTCCCTCCTCCCTCATTCTCCCCCTCTCCTTCTCCCTCCCTCCCCCTCTCCTTCTCCCTCCCTCCCCTCCCTCCCCCTCTCCCTTCTTCCTCCCTCCTTCCTCCCCCTCTCCCTTCCTCCTCCTCCCTCCCCCTCTCCTTCTCCCTCCCTCTCCTCCCCTCTCCTCCTCCTCCTCCCTCCTCCCCCTCTCCTCCTCCTCTCCCCCCTCCCCCTCTCCTTCTCCTCTCCTTTTCCCTCCCTCCCTCCCCTTCCTTCTCCCTCCCTCCCTTCACCTTCACCCTCTCCTTTTCTCTCTCTCCCTCCCTCCCCCTCTCCTTCTCCCTCCCTCCCCCTCACCTTCTCCCTCCCCCTCATCTTTCCTCCCTCTCCTCTACTTCTCCTCCCTTTTCGTCCTCCCTCCCTCCCCCTCTCCTTCTCCCTCCCCCTCACCTTCCCTCCCCCTCACCTTCTCCTCTCCTCCCCTTCTCCTTCTCCCTCTCCTTTTTCCTTCCCTCCCCTCTCCTTCTCCCTCCCTCCCCCTCACCTTCTCCCTCCCCCTCACCTTCTCCTCCCCTCCTTCTCCCTCCCTCCCCCTCTCCTTCTTCCTCCTCCCTCCCTCCCCCCTCTCCTTCTTCCTCCCTCCCTCCCCCCCTCTCCTTCTTCCTCCCTCCCTCCCTCCCCTCTCCTTCTTCCTCCCTCCCTCCCTCCCCTCTCCTTCTTCCTCCCTCCCTCCCTCCCTCCCCCTCTCCTTTCTTCCTCCCTCCCTCCCTCTCCCTCTCCTTCTTCCCTCCCTCCCTCCCTCCCCTCCCTTCCCCTCCCTCCTCCCTCCTCCCTCCTCCCTCCCTCCTCTCCTCCCCTCCTCCGTCCCCTCCTTCCCCTCCCTCCTCCCTCCTCCTCCCTCTCCCTTTCCTTCTCCCTCCTCTCCCTCCTCCCTCCCCCTCTCTTTCTTCCTCCCTCTCTCCCTCCCCCTCTCCTTCTTCTCCCTCCCTCCCCTCACCTTCCTCCTCCCTCCTCTCCTCTCCCTCCCTCCTCTCCTTCTCCCTCCTCCCTCCCTCCCTCCCTCCCTTCTTCCTCTCCCTCCCTCCCCTCTCCTTCTTCCTCCCTCCCTCCTCCCCCTCTCCTTCTCCCTCCCTCTCTCCTTCTCCCTCTCCTCCCTCCCTCCCTCCCTCCCTCCCCTCTCCTTCTCTCCCTCCCTCCCTCCCTCCCCTCTCCTTCTCCCTCTCCTTTTCCCTCCTCCCCTCCCCTCTCCTTCTCCCTCCTCCCCTTCACCTTCACCCTCTCCTTTCCCTCCCTCCCTCCCTCCCCCTCTCCTTCTCCCTCCCTCCCCCTCACCTTCTCCTCCCCTCATCTTCTCCCTCCCTCCCCTCTACTTCTCCTCTCCTTTTCCGTCCTCCCTCCCTCTCCCCTCTCCTTCTCCCTCCCTCCCCTCACCTTCTCCCTCCCCTCACCTCTCCTCCCTCCCTTCTCCCTTCTCCTCTCCTTTCCCTCCTTCCCTCCCCCCTCTCCTTCTCCCTCCCTCCCCTCACCTTCTCCCCCCCCTCTCCTTCTCCCCCTCCCCTCACCTTCTCCCTCTCCTTTTCCCTCTCCCTCCCTCCCTCCCTCCCTCCCCCTCTCCTTCTCCCCTCCTCCCCCTCACCTTCTCCCCCTCTCCCCTCTCCCTCCCTCCCTCTCCTTCTCCTCCTCCCCTCACCTTCTCCCTCCTCCCTCTCCTTCTCCCCTCCTCTCTCCTTCTCCCTCCTCCCCCTCACCTTCTCCCTCCCTCCCCCTCTCCTTCTCCCCTCCCCCTCCCTTCTCCCTCCTCCCCCTCTCCTCTCCCTCCCTCCCCTCTCACCTTCTCCCTCCCTCCCTTCTCCTTCTCCCTCTCCTTTTCCCTCCTTCCACCTTCTCCCTCCCCTCTCCTTCTCCCTCCCTCCCCCTCACCTTCTCCCTCTCCTTTTCCCTCCCTCCTCCCCCTCTCCTTCTCCCTCCCTCCCCCTCTCCTTCTCCCTCCCTCCCCTCACCTTCTCCCTCTCCTTTCCCTCCCTCCCCTCCCCCTCTCCTTCTCCCTCCCTCCCCCTCACCTTCTCCCTCTCCCCTGCCCTCCCTCCCCCTCTCCTTCTCCCTCCCTCCACCTTCTCCCTCCCTCCCCTCTCCTTCTCCCTCCTCCCCCTCACCTTCTCCTCCCTCCCTCTCCTTCTCCCTCCCTCCCCCTCACCTTCTCCCTCCTCCCCTCTTTGATGGATCACCCGGGAAAGCGATCCGTCGAGAGCACGAGGCCGGCAGCGACAGGCAATCAAAATAGCATCTTTAATTTCCCTCTTGTGTTATTCTTCTTCATATATTGTCGCTCTTCCTTCGTTCTTTTTTGTTTGTTTGTTTGTTTATTGTTTGTTGGTTGTTGTTTGTTTGTGATTGATTCTGGTTGCCTCTTTAATCTCTGGTCTTGTTCGTGTCTTTGTTTTCTATCCTTCCTTCTTTCCGAGTTTGTTCACATTGTATATCTAAGCCATGCTGTATGATATGTTGGTGTGTACCTCAATATTCTTTAGCTTCTTATATATATATATATATATATATATATATATATATATATATATATATATATATATATATATATATATATAATATATATATATATATATATAATATATATATATATATATATATATATATATATGTATGTATGTATGTATGTATAGTATATATATATATATATATATATATATATATATATATATATATATATATATATATATATATACGAAATCAGATGACTCACCTTTCATCATATGATATACTACTGATAACGTTGTAGCTTATTCAAATGTGTCAATTATATCAAAATACACCTATCTATGCCTCAGTATGCATGGTTTTTATCTTAATATAATACACACACACATACATACACACACACCAACAACCGGAGCAGTCTGGAATCACTGCCGGCAAAGCCACCATAGACCGTATCCTAGTGCTGCGAGTCTACATCGACCTCTAGAAGGTATTTGACTGCATTTTGAATGACTATGGAAGATCTTGAGACGGGAATTCCGACATGGATTAAAGGTTGAATAGCAAGCCTATATACATGTACTGAAAGTGCTGTAAAGAGTGATGAAGATTTGTCGACCTCCTTCCCTGTTAACTCAGG